ACACACACACAAACACGCACAACCACACAAACACACCACAACACACACACAAACCCCAAACACAAGACACCCCACACACACCACACACACAAACAACACAAAACACACACACAAACACAACGCGTACACGCGCGCGCACAAAACCACAACACAACACATACACACACACAAAAACATACACCCACACACACACACACACACCACACACACCACAAAACGCATACACACACAAAAAAGAGTGGTGGAACACTAAAAAGGGAAATGATCTCCCAACAGCAGCCAATATGGTTTCAGGGACGGGAAATCCTGTTTTCACAACCTACTGGAGTTCTATGACGGGTAAACAGCAGTAAGACAAGGGAGGGGTGGGTGGACTGCATTTCTTGGACTGCAAGAAGGCTTTTTTAAAACAGTTCCAGACAAGAGATTAGTGTAAAAACTGGAGGACCAAGCAGGGATAAACAGGGAAGGCACTAAAAATGGATCAGGGAATATTTGTCAGGAAGACAGCAAACGAGGGCATGGTACGTGCCGAGGTGTCAGAGTGGGCACCTGTGACCTGCGGGTTCCAATAGGGGTCTGTCCTAGGACAGTTGCTGTTCTGGTATTTTTGTACGGACATGACGAAGGAAAGACTCCGAACAGGTTACAGTGTCCCTGTTTGCGATGACGTGAGTGATGAGGAAGAATTCATTCGTATCGATGACCAGGCAGAAACTACAAAAGGGATATGACAGGCTGCAGACTGGTCCCAAGCAACTGGCACCTGGGAGATTCACCCCACCAAGGCAAAAGTCATGAACAATGGTAAAAGGGCAAAGACGCAGACGGGAGTAAGTTGTGTAGGGGGGGCAGAGACTACAAACCTCACTCAAGGAAAAGGGATCTTGGGGTGAGTATAACCCAGGCACATCTCCTGAGGCGCACATCAACCAAATAACTGCTGCAGCATATGGGCGCTAGCAACCTAGAAACAGCATTCCGACTTCTTAATAAGTGAATAGTTCAGGAACATGTACACCGTGACGTTAGGGCCATATTGAGTTATGCGGCAACCAGTTTGGAACCCACACTAGCCAAGACGAAAAGCAACTAGAGAAAGAGCAAAGGTTTGCAACAAGTAGTTCAGAGCTAAGAGGTATGTCCTACAAGGAAGAGGTTAAGGAAATCGCCTGGACGGACATGGAGGACAGGAGAGATAAGGGGGGACATGATAACGACATACAAAAATATGAGAGGAGAAGTGAAGTGTGTGTCCAGCAGCGGCCAGTAGTTCGACTTCAACCACACATAGGTAAAGTGGCCAAATGGATGAACACAAACACACAAACAACGAAAACAACACACACAAACCACACACATACAAGGATGGACAAAAGACAGGATGTTCCAGAGATTGGACACAGTAAAAGGGGACACAGTTGGCAGTTGAAGAATCACAGATGAATCTCAAGGATGTTAGAAAGTATTTCTTCGGCCTCAGATTAGTCAGGAAGTGGAATAGTTTGGGAAGCAAAAGTAGTGGAGGTAGGATCTTAATAGTTTTAAGCAGATGTATGATAAAGCTCACGGTTCAGTGAGGGTGGATCTAGTAGCGACAGTTGAAGAGGCGGGGCCAGGAGCTTGGAAATCGACCTAGCAACTCAAACTAGAGCGAGGACAACTATGTGAGTACACACAAAACACAAAACACACACAAAAAAAAAACAAAACAAAAAACAACACCAACACAACACACAAACACAACACCAACACACACACAAACAACAACAACACACAACACAACAACACAAAACATAACAAACTCACACAAACACACAACATAATACCACACACAAACACAACACACAATAACCAACAAAAAAAAAACAACAAAATACACAACACACAAACACAACACAACACACACAATAACAAAACACAAACACACACAAAACAAACAAAAACAACAGCAACACAAAAAACAACAAATAAACACACAAACAAACAAACAAAAAAAAACCAATCAACAACACACACAAACAACACCAAACAAAAACACAACAACACACAAACAACAAACAAACACAACACAACAACAAAACACCAACAACACCCCCCCCCCCCCCCCAAAACCAACAAAAAACAACAACACAAACAACCACACAAAAAACAACACACACACAACACCACACACACAACACACACAAACACAAAACACAAACACAAACACAAACACAAAACAACAACAACACAAAAACACAAAACAACAACAACAAACCACATAACAACACAAAAACCCAACCTCACACAACACAAACACACACACCACACACAACACAACAAACAAACAAAACACACACACACATCACAACAACACACAAACAACCCACAAACAAACAAACACACACACAACACAAAAAAACACTAACACAAACAACAACAACCCAACCACAACAAAAAACAAACCACACAAACACACACAAAAAACAAAACAACAACCCAAACAAAACACAAACAA